AGGAGGGAAATTGGGGAAAGGAAAAGTGACATGCCAACAGGAGCAATGGTGTCAAGTTGAAAAACTAACTTTGTGCTTGAAGCTGGTGAATATTTTGTTCTTGAAATATAAAGGCGACCCCTCAGTAGGTTGAATTTACATTTTGTACTATTTGATAACTTGACTAGAAAACTTTGAGCCGGCTATATTAGGTAAGTCTTGATTGCTTCCAGTGTTTAACCTATCAGGATGGCATATCCTTCTTATTTGCAGCCATCAGGCTACATTGTTCATTGTCTGCAGTCATATCAGCTCGGTCTGAGAAATCAATCGTTTGTGCCTAAGCTCTTCATATTCACAAGCTATAGCTAGTGCGTGTTGTAAGCTTCTAAGGCCCTCTGCTTGTTTTAATTATTGAATTCGTCCCTCTCCCTGTCTTCAGGTACACTTCCGTGAGATCCACACTCGCCGCTCCTCAGCAGGTCTTCTGAACCCCGAGGAGCTCCAGCTCTACAAGTTCAACTGTGGTCAGTGTACCTTCAGCTTCCGCAGCCTGGAGAGCCTGCAGCAACACACGCTGGTGCACCTGATGCAGTCGGTGACCCGCTGCAGACTCTGCTCCACCACCGTCAGCTCAGTGGAACGCATGAGACGCCACGTGGAGACTGCTCACGGAGACCTGAATCCGGCCGAACTGAAAGGTCAGATGAGTGTGATTGAAGAAAATGCTGGTCTTCTGTTTAGTAGTCCGGCATTTGAGCAGTTCACCGTCAAGATGCTGCTCGTGAATGGAACGGAAAAAGCAGCTGCAAAGAATGGGGTACTTGGTAATGAGGATGAAGATGAGATGACAAGCTCGGATTTTTTTAATGGTTTGAAGGAGAATATCCGGAATGAAGAGGACATGGATGAGAGCGATGGGATGTCGGTATCGTATAAGGAGAAGCAATTTCTCGAAGACTACATGAACAGTCATTCCATGGCGGAGGAGCATTACAGAGACAACAGTCGCAAATTCAAGTGTCATCGCTGTAGAGTGGCCTTCACAAACCCGCGCTATCTGTACGCACACAACAAAACGGCACAGCACAGGCTGGGAGACAAGATGGCGACCGACCCGATGGAGAACTCCAGACCCTTTAGATGTGAGTTTTGCAAAGAGTCTTTTGCACAGAAAAGCCTTCTGATGGTTCACAATAACTCTGCCTCTCACTTGCACAAACTGAAGCAGCATGCACAGATGAACGGAGATTTGGCACCATTTTGTTCACCAGTTTCAACATCTTCATCATCCACTTCTTCACTGTCATCGTTATCTGCTGGCACACCAGGATCTCACTCTGCTCCCCCTCCTTTATCCTCCTCCCCTCATGTGAACTCCACATCCTCTGCTCCTCAAGTTAGCCCTAACGGTAGTTTAGAAGCAGAGAATGGAGCCTGGGAACGTGAGGGAAAACACAAGCCCTACAAGTGTAATGTATGTAAAGTAGGCTATAGCAATGCCCCAAGTTTGGACATTCACATGCGCTCTGTGGCCCACAAATCTAAAGCCAGCAAGCTGGTAGACCTGACACACCCTACAGCGATGGACTTTGGCCAGTCACAGCTGGAGCAAGCAGAGGCCAAGGCAGTGGGCAAACAGCAGGCTCAACTCATTGCTGACATGATCCACCAGCAGGCCACAGCTCAGGCGGCCTCCAACTCGGCCGCATCATTCTACAATCTGCCTGGAATGTCAAATGTGAACACAATGGCCCAGCTTTCTCTACTCCAAGGTTTGATCCCAGGCTCTCACCTTCTGCCTCAGTCTGCTCAAAACGCTTTGGAAGCCATGTCTAATGCACAGTTAGAAACGTATGAGGCTCTCCGCACCTTGGCAGTCAATCAAGGTAAAGATGTCCGCGATGGCAGGGAAAGCTCAAAGTCTAAAGCAGAATTTGGACCCCAACATGGTGATAGCAAGTGCGAATCAACTAAGGAGAAGTTGAACATGAAGATCAATGCTAAGCCTGATCTGACTGAGAAAATCATCAATATGGTGATCAAACAAGATGGTAAAATTGAGCCAGCAAGTGAGATCAAAACTAAAATGGTCATGCCAGATGACAGGATGATGAGCAAACTCTCTCCTGGACTTTGTATGGATGCCAAAGGAAGCAAAAAAGAGGAAGAGTTACCTCCCAACTTCCCTCACGCACCTGTACTTGCAAGACCTCGGGGGTTTATGGGTAGATTTAAACCCCAGCTGCACCGCAGTCTGTTGGAGAACTTTGGCTTTGAGTGTGTCATGCACTATAATGAGGAGCACACTGGTAAAGCCAAGGAGCAGAAAGAGGAAACTACTGAAGAGAATTCTCCTGAACAAGAAAAAGACATAAAGAATGAAGAGGATTTAGAGGAAACTGAAGAGAATACTGAGGGGAAAGAGCCAATCCAAGAGATAAAAGAAGATGAAGAGGCTGAGAAAAAGGAAGAAGAAAACAAAGAAACTGAAGAAGAGAAAAGAGATGATAATAAAGAAAATATTGACCTACCTGAGCTCAACAAGATGAAATGTCACTTTTGTAACAAGGACTTTTCAAATGTTTGGGTTCTGAAAAACCACGAGGAAGAGATCCACAATAACTTCATTTCCCCTGAAATTATCGAGGACTTTGGTAAAAAGTTCAAGGAAGAGTGGGAGAAAAATTTGCCCAAACCCGTAGAGTGTGAAGCCCCTGTGACCCCAACCCAGCCCTCATCCAACCCACCCACCCCAACTCCGGAAAAAACCCCTACTGCAAGTGAAATGCCGCCGCCCCCTCCCCCTCCTTCCCAGCCCCAGAATATGATGAACTTTGACATGTCGCAGCTTCTGCCTCTCATGGGCATGAACCTGCTCCCCATGCACCTGCCCATGAACCTGGTGGGCCTAGGCCTCCAGAACTCCCTTATGCCTTCTCTCATGATGCCCCCGGGCATGGACCTTCCTCAGGGCTTCTTACCACAGATGCCACCACCACCCCCTCATATGGTGGACGGAAACACACCTGTGTCCTCACAGCAGCACCTTCAGGCAGCTGCTGCAGCAGCCGCTGCCCAGCAGGCCCAGAATCAGAAACGGGTCCGAACCCGGATCAGCGATGATCAGCTCAAGGTGTTGCGTCAATACTTTGATATCAACAACTCCCCCAGCGAGGAGCAGATCAACAAGATGTCTGATCAAACTGGCCTGCCCCAGAAAGTCATCAAACACTGGTTCCGGAACACTTTGTTTAAAGAACGCCAAAGGAACAAAGACTCCCCGTATAACTTTAACAATCCTCCATCAACGTCCATTGACCTTGATGAGTATGACAGGACTGGGAAGATTCCAGAGGTGAAGATTGAGCCAGAAGAAGAGGAAGAGAGCACAGCCCCTGCCAGAAGTGCTGCGCCAGAGCCAGAGAAGGAGGTCGTTGTCATAAAGGAGGAAAATGTCAGCAGTGCAGAGAAGGACATGGATCAAGATGCTGATTGTTTTGAGAGTCCACCTCTGAAGATTGACTTGGCTCCCAAGTCTGAACCCACTGAAGAGCCGAAAAGGGAGCAGGACAGTCATTCCAATACCTCATCACCATCCAACATGTCTTCCATTCCATCTACACCCACAGCGTCTGCCCCAGCCACTCCGACACCTATGATAACTACTAATCCCATGACATCAAATCCTCTCACCTTTTCTTTGGATGCTTATGCTGCAAACATGGCTCGCCTGGAAGCAGCAACATTTCAAAGCATGGGCAAGAGGGCCAATCGCACTCGCTTTACTGACTTTCAGATTAAAACCCTTCAGGAATACTTTGAGAGAAATGCGTACCCCAAAGATGATGAGCTGGAACATTTGTCAAAGATGCTGGGCCTGAGTGCAAGAGTGATTGTTGTGTGGTTTCAGAATGCCCGCCAGAAAGCACGAAAAATCTATGAGAACCAGCCTGTGAATGAAATTGCCAAAGATCCTGCTGTCCCTTTCCAACGTACTCCGGGGCTGAACTACCAGTGCAAGAAGTGTAACTCTGTGTTTCAGAGATACTATGAGCTCATCAAACACCAGAAAAACTCGTGTTTTGGAGAGTCGAATAATAACAAACCTATTTCATCTATGACTGAGGACGACAGCAGCAACATCAGCTACAATTCTAATGAGGACTCCAATTTCTCGGATCGTCACATACCCTCTTCAGCCACACCAGTCAGGGAGAGAGAGTTGATGCCCAGAGCTCTGGCAGTTGAGACCACGTCTATCAGCACAACTCCAGCCAAGCCAGTACTATCTGCAAGTGCTGTGAACACTTCTTCCTCATCCCCATCCACACCTTCATCCTCCTCCTCATCATCCAACCCACCATTCAAGTGCGACAAGTGTACCCTGACGTTCCCCCGATTTGACATGTGGCAAGACCACCAAAAAGCTCACAGTGTGGCACCTGCAATGTTCACACCATTCTCCTCCAGCAGTGCATTTGGCATGCTGCAGACACTGGCCCATCAGGAGGACAGTAAAGCTGTTTTTGCCATGGCTGCCATGTCCACACCCAGCTCTATGCATCCTACCATGGTGACCACACCCATTCCGGCTGCCCACCAGCCCCCGGCGATGACAACCCTGCCGACTTCTGTCATGTCAACCTCTCCGTCGCCAGCCACCACTAAGAGGAAAACAGACTCGGAGGATGAGAGCGGCGAACAGCCACGAGACAAGAGGTTGAGGACCACTATTCTACCAGAGCAGCTGGACTATCTGTACCAGCAGTACCAGGTCAGTATGGCTCAATTCACTTACTTGTGACTTCAAAATTATATTTGGTTCTGTCTCCATTAAGAAAATAGGACCTTATATAGTTTTCTGTTTTAAGACTGTAGTTGGGTGATGGATGCTCTTTTGCTGCTACTGTTCAGTCCTACTTCTTTCATCATTATCATCATCATCATCATCATTGTCATCATCATCATCATCATCATCATCATCAGCCTTTCTTACCCTTATCAGAGTACAGGTCACCAACAAGAGCTCTCCATAAACTTCTGTCCTGGGCTATAAGTCGTGACCTTTGTACAGCTGTATCCCATCTCTTAAAGGTCTGAATCCAAATTCCTCCTTCAAGTATTTTAAAACTTTGCAGTCACACAGCCAGCAGTACAAAATACCCCATCTGGTCACCCAGCCGGGAGAGTGACTGCAACAAACTTCTCTGGCCTGGCACAGAAACAGACAATTCTCCCCTTCGCATTATTTTGCCAAATGACCGCAAAGTGTTAAGGCATTCCACTCTTTCTCTTTCCTTTTAAGGCTTGGTGGGTAGTGTTTGTCTTCAGTTTTCTAACGGTGTGTCAAATCCATTTCCATTTCTCTTTCTGCTTTCTACATTTTTTTTTTTTTGGCTGATTAATTTGATCCAGTGGTTGTTAATTTAACTAAAGCAACTTTTGACAAACGCCTGTAGCTTTTTAGAGGTTTGTTCTGCAAGTTCCTATATTTCTGATCCAAAAAGTGGTACATTTCTACTTCTTTACTGTACCTCTGTTGTTTGTGTCTGTCAGTCCTTTATTTTTCAGCGCCTAATAACGTTTCATGTTAAAATTCTTCTGTTTAATTCAAACAAAGTTCCGTGAATTATATAAGAAACATTGTGATTTCAAAAGCCATCGGATATTTTATTTGAATCCAATATTGTGCTTGCCTTCAAATTTTGTTTCGATTTTACAGATTGACTGCAATCCCAGCAGAAAACAGCTGGAGCACATTGCCTCCACTGTCAATCTGAAGAAGAGGGTGGTTCAGGTTTGGTTCCAGAACACTCGTGCCAGAGAACGTAAAGGTCATTACCGTGCCCACCAACAACTTATCAACAAGAGATGTCCATTCTGCCGAGCACTGTTTCGCGCCAAGTCTGCACTTGAGTCTCATCTGGCAACCAAACACCCAGAGGAGATGGCTAAGGGGGATATCAATGTTGACCTCATTCCAGATGCGATGATCGAACCCCCTTCGTCCAGCCATGCTCCCTCTTTACCGGCATCCAGCAGTGGGCTGACTTCGACACACAACACACCGGACATCAGCAAGCTGTTACCTCCCGGGGCTGCGGCCAGCATGCCCAACTACATGTCCTTCATGTCAGCGGCAGCTGGAGGTCTCAGTTTGCCCTTCCCCGCACCTACGGCTGACCTTCTATCCCATCCATCCTTTGAGGATCCATTCTTCAAAAAGTACATGAGTGAACTGGCGGGTACGATGACCTCGCGTCCAGAGTCCGTGGCCCCTCCTCTCCCCCACAGCATGCCCCGACATTCGGCTTCTCCCTCCATCTCGGCCCACTCCACCCCCAAACCCAGCCACCACTCCAGCCCAGCACCCCTCAACTTTGCTACCACATCTCCACGGCCACTGGATGCACACAAAGTGAAAACATCCACCCCAATTCCCCCACCAGCAAGTGAAGACGCACCCTTAGACCTGAGCAAACCTGTTCGCTCTGCACATCCTGAGCCCAGTCGCACAGAACAAGTTCCCAGGAGCTTTGCTCTACACCACAGCTCTGGCCAAGAACAAAGCGACCGCTCTCTTGAGTTGGACTACCTCCGGCGGCTCAACAGCATGGACGACTCATTCTCAGAGACACAGTCGGAGACAGCGGATCACGAGTATCTCAATGAGGTGAACAACAGTCCTCCATCGCCCAACCGTAGCAGCAGCAGCAGCAACCCCCCTCAGAACCACCGGAGTGGAAACACGCCTGGCTCAAGTACCAAACGATATCGGACGCAGATGTCTGCAACTCAGGTAGGAAAGGTTGTACATTTTATCCTCCTCTTTTCGGTCCGCTCCTCGCCTTCTGTTGTTCTCTAATCAACCCAGCTAAGCTAACCAAACGTCATACTGTTGTCTCCTTTGGTAAGTTTTTTTACACTTTATGTCCTGCTGACTCTCATGTTGTTCTGTGTTCTACAATTATTTTTGTTGTTGTTTTACAATTGATGCCTTATAAAGTAAGTAGAAAATATCCTGAAATATTGAATGAATTTCATATCTAGATTGGATAAGTCTATGAAAAAGTGTCTGCCCATATTATTAAACAAGAGATTAAGAAATAAACGATCCTTATGATGTTGTACAGTTATGTTTTCAACAGAAAATAAATTATTGTGAATTATTATGTTTTATTCCGTATAGTCACTTTCCCTGCATGGTTTGGAATATAAAATCGTAAATTTGTTAATGTATCCCTTTGAGTGGTAGCAATATCTAAGTACAGTGTATTCTTAAACAGTTTTATTTATGTATATAAGCTTTTAACTACATAAGTAACGGCTGTACTTTTTCTCTTTGTTGTGATCAAAAAATGGTTGATCCCATATGTTGTCCCATTAATTTTTTGGGATGTGGAGGGGGGGGGGGGGAATTCAGTGAAACATCAGATGTAAGTAGTACAAACATTCATAGTATTGTAAGAGTAAAATGAATTTCTTATTATATGGAATATGATAAAAGTGTTATGCTTTTTCCAGCAGTAATAGCAATCATGTTAACTTCTTTAGCCATAATATTATGAATTATTATAATTGATTTCAGCTGTGTTTGGTTACTTCCAAAGATCATTTATCACAAAGCAAATGACCGTTTAACAGCAATTAACAGCCTTAGTAATTTTTATTTTGTTCTTCCCTCTTTTTTCTAGACTTAATTTCCATATGGCTCCAAGAACTCCTTTCAGCCTTTATTCACCTTATAGTTCATCCCACATGTTTTACTTTTGAATATACCAGTCATTGTGGGTGGTTGACTGGTGCTCTGGTGTGGTTTGCTTCTTCTTTCCTATCAAATATCTATCGTCTTTATCTCCCCTCTGTCTTTTTTGTGTTTGTTACTCTCTTGTAACACCTCTAATCTTCGGCACTTATATGACCTAATTGTGTTGCAAATGCCGTAAAATACTTACTAAAACTAAAAAATAACAGTCGTTCTTAATCAAACAGTTGTAATTTTAAACGAACAAAGTGTTAAACCATTATTATTTCTTCCTTTTACCTTGTGTCTGTGTTTAGGTGAAGGTGATGAAGCATCTGTTCATGGACTACAAGACCCCCACAATGGCAGAGTGTGAGCTGCTTGGACAGGAAATAGGCTTGGCCAAGCGCGTGGTTCAGGTCTGGTTCCAGAATGCTCGAGCCAAGGAGAAGAAGGCAAAACTGTCCTCAGGCAAACCTTTTAATGCGGAGCTTGACTTCCCAAAGTCTCCGGAAGAGTGCAGTCTTTGTGGCTACAAGTACACTCACAAAGTCACGGTAAGTGAACAACTTGTTATGTGTAATTGATATTTATTTTACAGTGCATTGTTTACCTCTATTTGTCTGTCTGTCTGTCTGTCTGTCTGTCTGTCTGTCTGTCTGTCTGTCTGTCTGTCTGTCTGTCTGTCTGTCTGTCTGTTGGTTTCTCTCTCTTTCTCTCTCTCTCTCTCTCTCTCTCTCTCTCTCTCTCTCTCTCTCTCTCTCTCTCTCCCTCTCTCTCTGTCTGTCTGTCTCTCTCTCTGTCTGTCTCTCTCTCTGTCTCTCTCTTTCTCTTTCTTTCTCTCCATTTTCCAGCCTAATAAGGCAAATAATGAAAAATAAATGATGGTCTCTTCAGAGATGTTCAAGGCCCTCAGCTATCCTCAATATTGTGTTTTGTGAGGATTTTTGCTTTCTTTTTGTTTCTTCATTTCCATTGCTTAAGTCTCTTGACCTCATAGCTGTATTATTTAGATGCTTATTCAGTAAGTTGAATTGAAGGACATTGAACAAACTTTATCTCATCTTGACAGGTGCAGGACCACATATTCACCAAGGCACACATCGACAAGGTGAAAAACTTTCTCAGTGCCGATGGTGAGCGTGACCTTGACCTGTCCGGGGGCAGTCTGCCCAGTCAGTCTTCGGCCGAGACTGAGCGAGCCCGCAAGATGTGGGATGAATCTGGCACCCACCTTGCCCAGCTACAGGCAATGGGCATCAGCCCATCGGCCATCGGCTTTCCTCCATTGCCATCTGGTGAGTGAAAGTACCTTGTACTTACTTGTAATCAGAAAGAAAAGACAACTGTATTCTTCCTTTTCAAATGAGAAGAAAAAAGTTCTTTGAATTTTGTAGGCTAGAATGCTGCGGAGCTGGCCTACCACAGAAAACTGCATCTCCCCTCGATGCTTAACGGTAACAGAGGATGAAAAAGTAAAAGTAAAGTAAGAATGCTCAAATATAAATTGTACTTTGTACTTTGATGTTTTGCTGCTTTAGAAATCCCTTTAGACTTAAAAGAATAAGAATTTTATTTTTAATTTTCTTTTCTTTCTTTGTTATCTCTTCATTTGTTGACTGTCAGTCACTCACATAACACTGGTACTCTCTTTGTACTTTTGTCATTATGAGGCTTGATTTTACTTCTGTTTTAAATTTCCTGCCATTCACACTTCAAGTATTGGCATCTGTGAAAAAGCAGTAAGTGCTTTTTCGTAGCATGCAGAAACATGAGTTAAATTCCCATATGGAAAGGCTTTTATATTGAGCATACACTGTATCCGAAGGTATTTTTATGAAATTCCCTAGTGTATGAATAACTAATACCTTATACAATAGGTGATGTCTTCGAGTTTTTCAAAGACTCTCCATTTTTTACATTTTCTAACATTTTGTATGCCATTTCGTTCCTGCACAGGTGAGAGCAGCAAGGCTCATGAGAAGTCTGAGTCTCCTAAAAAAGATAAAAAGCCAGCTGAAGGTGAGTACATGATTTTGTCTCACCTTCTAAGCTTGTGATAGACTATTTAGTAGTCACAGATGTTTCTGTTTTGGAGATATCGATGATCACATCATTATCTTTATAAGATAGCAATCCTATACTTTGCATTTAAATGAACACTCTTTGTGCAAACTGGTTTGAGAAATCTTTCTTTTTATAATATGGACAATTGAAGCTCTAATTTCAGAGTCAGGTTCAGATTAGAGAAGAAAACACATTAAACTTTTTAAGCAGCACGCCAAAGGCTTGAAATGGTCAACATTTCTATTTGTATTGACAGCAAAACATAATAATATATATATATATATATATATATATATATATATATATATATATATGTGTGTGTGTGTGTGTGTGTGTGTGTGTGAGGCAGCGTGGTGGAATCAGGCTCTCGTCAATTTTTGGGCATGTAGAGTTATTGGTATCATCGTAAAGCTTATTCACTTGTCTTTATTTGGATGAAAAAAATATCCATTTATCTTGAATACAAGTCGAGATATTTGCGAAAGAAGGAGGTGGGGGTCACATGTTTCCGGAGGCAAAGTTCGTGAGAAAATGACCACCAAAGATTAGTTATTTCCTTAGCTTAAGAGTCCGTTGTAACTGAAAATTTACATTTTTGTGCCTCAACGCTTTTCAGAAAAATCCATACAGAAATGAGTTCTTTATTGGGCATGAAAGGTGTTGAGCCAAAAAAACAAAAATTTGATAAAAATTCACAAACCTGAGGAAAAATGCAAATTTCTTCACGTTGATTATTTTGTCGAGAGCCTAATTCCACCACGCTGACTCACATATATATATTATATATTGACTGAGTTGTGTTGTCCTCTTATGCATCATCATTTTATTAGGCTCTCTTGGTTTGACTGTGCTAAATTCTCATTTTGTTTGTTCCCAGCTGGATCATCAAAAGAGCAGCAACAGGTTGCCATGGAGATGGCAATGAGCGCTCAGATGATGTCAGCCCTTGGTGGCTACATGCCCGGCCTTGACCCCAGTTACCTTTCATACATGTACGGTGGACTGCCCGGCTATTTCCCAGCTATGGGAGTTCCAATGGTTCAGCCAGGCCTGCTTTCTGGTTAGTGGGGTTTTTTTTCTTTTTCTGTTTTTTTTTTCTTGTCAAGGTTTTATTTTTTAGTTACACATTCTTAGAATCACTTCCTGGTTTATTTTCTTTCTTTTTCAGTTCTTGGATTTAACTGTAGCTTATACTTCTTGGTTTTGTTTTGTTTTGTTTTTTCACTTTAGCTTGCATTGATGACTTTCAGAAACCTTTGATTGCATTCATTCAATTTGAAAAAGTAAGTGAATTTTTGTATGAACCTGTGCAATTTGCAGATAAGTATGATATAATATAACTATGAACAACAACTTTTAAAACAGCACGCAAAAGACTGCATATTGATGCTTATTCAGAGCTACCCTAGTCCCTGTGAGGCCACCGTTTTATTGTTCTTTTGTTTTTCCTGTTTACTCATGCTTTGTCAGAAAATTCTGACTCGCTGTATTTTCTGTCTGACTCTAGGTGCAGAGCACATGATGGGTTATGACCCCTTGGCTTATGGAACGCCACTGGCCCTTCTTCAGATTCCCAGCGCAGCCATCAAGTCTGTGAGTGACAAACTGTCGGAAGCTGGGGCTGTCCTTGCCCGCTACACTCAGGACTGCCAGGCACTTGCTGACCTGCACAGTGTTGTGACTGCAGCTGACCTCACCGTTGCTGCGGAAGCAACCTTAGACGTTGGCTACATCTGCAAGACGTGCCAGATCGTGTACCCAGCCCGTGAGTCATGCATTGCTCACCAACGCACAGTATGCGGGACTGGCCAGACTAATCGGCCAAAGGGATTTGAACCTATCATGAAGTTAGAGCAAGTCCAGTATGAGTGCAGAGCCTGCAACGACCGCTTCTCCACCATCCTTGAGTTCAAAGGTCATTGCCAGCAAGAAGCCCACAAAACACGGCTTGCCAAGTTCAAGGCCAAAGAAGCAGCAAGGAGAGAGGCAGCTGGATCTCCAAGCTCCTCGTCACCATATTCTTCATCCAGCAAGATCATCTCTCCGTCTGCATCCTACACATCCTCCAAACAGCTGTCTACCCCGCCATCAAACAACAACAATAACAACAACAGCAACAACCGAAACAACAACAGCCCCGGGTTGGCACACACTTCCAAGCCCCCCATGGCTCCCAGCCCCGCCCACCAGTTCAGCCGATCGTCCACCGGGTCATCGGTAATCATGAGTTCTTCTTCTCCAATGTTTAGGGACCCAACCAGTGCCCATTCTATGGCTTTTACTGAAATGCCTGAAATGAAACGACTCAAAGCTGATTAAGGAAAATACCTGAGCTCAAGAATTCCAAACAGTCCAAGAGAACCATTAATTAGATGAAGTGGAAAAAAATTTGCTTAATAGCAAAGACCCCACATGCATTGCAAAAAACTGTTGGATAAACAGTAGAGATGACGCAGAGACACTAGCATTTCTTGGAACTTGTAAAGAAAATTTCCACAGCTGGCTCGCAGGTGCAGCGATTCAGAAACTTTCAACTTGTATGTGTGTGCAGTTGAATTTGTGAAACAATTGAAGAGGGTATTTCAGAGTGAATAAGTTGACATGATACACATTTATTTTTTGCAATGTGCTTTGATAGTCGATTGATATCTGGGTTACTAAAAGAATTTATCAATGCATGACTAATGGAAGGTCAGTTTGTGACATGTGTGGAGCATTCTACATGCTTGTCATGATTAGTATATACATGTAATGTAATCACTATTCAGCTTTTTTTTTTCTCTGAATTCTGTAATTGTTTCTAAGATCTGAGAGTGTTGTGAAGCACATTGACTTTATAAAAAGTATGAGAGAAAAACTTGTTGATACTCTTTCCAGATGCATCATTCAAGAATGCATTTCTAATGCCACATTTCTTTGTAATGTCACTCAGTGATTTCACTTTTTGCATCAGCATTGTATCTTATCACTTTTGTGTTCAATGACTTCAACACTGAGATGAAGCTTTATGAACTGAATGAGAAATATGTCGAAGTTGGAGTGTGGTGGCTGTCGTCATGATAATTACGCAAGCTTTCAGTACATCCTTGCCATTAACTGAACTAGACTTGTTTCCTGTCTTGCTCGTAGTTAAAGATCAGTTTGTCTTTCCAGTGTTCACCTTCATATGGTCATTGATTGCTTACATGGTCGGTTCACCATTTGCATGCTTCTGCGACAGATCACTCTGGGTGTACATTGTGATTACAGTGCATGTAGATTACAGTCCTCATTTTGAAATTCTTTGATTTGAATCGCAGAGAATTTGTAAGGAGAGGTTATGAATAAGGACGAGTCTTTTTGCATGTTGTTTTTTTTTGTAAATGACATTTATGTAAATATAATGTAATGCTCTGTGAGGGTCAATAGATGTAGGAAACAGGGTTTTATTTACTTACATTTGTTTATTCACATGTCTGCTTAATTACATTTAATTTTGTGTGTCAGTTATATGAATTCAAATTTTCTGAGCACTTTGTCAGATTATTTTTTTCGGTGTACATACGGCAGATTTCTCTGCTGATTTTCTATATATTTTAGCTAAGCAGAACTTTTGTGTTCATAAGTGTGAATGACAGGAAGTTTTGTTGGATGAGCTTGACACAATTTGAAGTTCAAGCCGAAGTGGCATTGGCTTCAATTAACTATTGTCTCTTTTTTCAAATATTTACTAATGCAAGTTAATTATTTGAATGTTTCTTTCTTTATTGCACCTTTACATATCATGGACCAGCCATGCTACCTGTAGAGAAAATGTATTCCTTTATGTTACTTTTACTGTGTAGCAACATCTTTATTATAATCGTATTCATTTTTTTCTGCAAATTTGTAATTCTGTCATTTTCTGCTGTCAACTCATGTTTGTAAAGTGATCATTTTTGTAGATGGTACCCAAACAATCATTGAAGGACAATGTAATGTATAATGGCAAATGGGAGATTTCAGCTGTAAGGCACAGCACGTCATAAGGTTACTACGGCACTGCATTAATATGTTGCTGCCCTTTTCCTTACTAAATAGAGTTGTTTTTATCATGGTAATGTGCAAAATCTGGTGGGGCATAATTTTGATTGTCATAACTTGTATGAAATGGCGCTGTAGCCTCAAGGACTGTTAGCAAATGACTAACAAATAGAAAGAAAGCTTTTTGCACAGTTTCCAAGCACCTTCAAATGTTACTTACTCTATGAAAAGAGCTTTAAGTAAAGATTGAACTCGTCAGTAAAGCTGACCCAAATTGTTCCCTAACTGTAATGCACTTTCTTGGTTTGTGTTTTCTAGAACTCAATTGGCTACCGTTTCGTAGTAAAGTGTCTATTGATTATTTTCGTATGAATTTGTTTCTGCCACTAAATACATCTGAAGATGTAAAACAACTTTCAGGGTGTGCACATGGCTCAACTTTTTATGGTCTAACGTCGTGCTGTGACCTCATCTAAGTTTGAAATTTGCTGAAGACTTTGATGACTCTTGGTTCTCAAGTATTTAAGATTTTGCTGTCAAATGAGGTCACTGCTCACACATGCAGGATATTGACTTTGATAATGTCCCATAGTGTGCTCACCTGCCATGCAGACTTTTTTCTTTTTCTTGTTGACTTTGCTAGAGCTTAATGATACATCGATCTTACTTTGGTGCCATGTTCTCTGTGTTTCAGCTGTCTCCTGAGGGGTATTTTCCTGGATCAATTTACTGATTTTCTGTTAACGATTTTGTTGTACATGTACAATGTTTGATGTGTGACATCCAGGTTATAATTTCAAATGTTCTTAAAGGGATAAAAGAAATAGGATTTTAATGAATATCTTTGGTTGAGATGTAACTCATGCAGTAGGTAAAAGGGGAATTTTTTTATTCTGCCATAGCAGATAGTTTTTACTTTGTTACAGGCTCGATATTTTCAGGACATGAAGTTATTATTTAAATATATATCCAGTTTGATATGTTGGGCATCATCATTGGCAGCAGAATAGTGACATCTAAAAGAGTTAAGTCATGAACAATATTATTTATATTTCTTTCGTTGTTGTTGTGGGTGGGGTTTTTTTTTATCATTGTCACTGCTCATTATGCTTGTGAAACATTGAAACTTGGAAGGAAGTGTATAGATCTGAAGATTTTTTGTTGTTGAATTGTTCATGCTCTTATCTGAACGTGTTGTGAATGAAATAACTTTGTTTTACTTTTACCAATGATAAGTTGTGTCCTGTCTGTGTTGCTGGGTTGTATAAGAGAGGCCATTATTGTTCTCTTGTCTATTCAGGGAGAGCCACCAGCTTGCAGAATGCATGCAGTGAGTGTGCGCAGTGTGAAAGGAGTTTATGAGACAGTTCTTGTTGTGGAACTGTCAGTGAATAATAAGACAATTTGCTGACAGGCTTTTGCTTCTGCACTGACAACTATGACTTCAAATGCCAAAATTGCAGGCCCAGATTCTGCAGGTGATATGATGACGCAAACTGAGAAATGATTTACGAGTACTTCTTTTTCGTAGTGTTTGTAAATATATCTGGACAGACCAAATGTCCTAAAGTGGCTATCTATTCTGTATCTTTATTGTCGGTTTTCGTATTGGAAAATTCTTACTTTTTTGGTATCAGTTTTATCACCGTCAGGTGCTGTTCATATGTGGCCATCCGTATATTTTCCTAAATGGTGTCTACTTTAAAACAAGTTTTTATTTTGAGCCCATGGGTCGACATTGATGTAATCAGAACTTTTGCTGATGTATGTGTGACTGCAAACATGACAACAGAGAAATAAAGTGATGACTTATTTTCTATTTTTGTATAAAAACTTTACATATGAATGAATGATTTTATTTCCTCAAAGTCTTAATAACATCATGGAGAATTAATTATTGCTGATGAGATTCATACCAAAGCAGAAGAACTTCAGTTGCTCAGACATGCAAATGAGAATGCAACAGCTGAAGCCCTAAAAGCATTTTATTAACTACATTTATCTAACAGAATATTATGCATTTTACTACTGCTTCAGACCATGAAGCTGAATTTCATCAGAATGGGGGGGGGGGGGGGGGGCAGAATTATGTCTTATTGGCTTGTTTAGGAACACATTTACCATTATGTAACAATTATGAAATCTAAATGTTTCATTTTATTCAGAAGTTAGACTAGAATTAGCAAAGATAATACTTGCTGCCACAACAAAGATAAGACAATTTTTCAAGACTTTCTTCTCTGTCATTTTGAAAGAAAACATTTGAAAAACCAAATATGGTTGAAGGAGTAAGATGAAAGTTTCGGTTTACAGTTTCAACTTGTTTTTGGTATCAGTGGCTTTAAATTGTGTTGTGAAAAGGATGAGCTGTCTTTTGCACAGTGCTGTCTTGGTCACATGGTGGTTGTCCAAAGTGAGTAGATTAGATACAGACATCCCCCAGTCTGCATGTGCTCAGCTTTTGTTGATCTATCAAAGTCTTGGATGCATTGTATGAAGTCGATACTCGCTTCATATTCTTGTGCCATTTCAGAAGAGCACAACATCTGATTTCAAAGATAAATGTTTTTATTTGTAAAGTACAACATCTGATTGTTCTTTTGTATCCATCAGTAGCCTACCTACTGGTGGGTACTATGCTCTTCGACATCTTCTGTCAAAGCAGACTTTCCTCCAGTTTCTGGAATTATATACTGTTGTTAGTCTGAATGTGAAAGATAGTCCTTGAACTCTCCTTGTGCTCCCTCCCACTGCTCTGTATAATTCAGGAACGGCTCTTTGTTTCTTGACTCATACCTCAGCTTGTCATGACACTTGACGACATGTTTATTCCTTTGTATTTGTAACATAGAAGAGTTTCAACAACAAAAAGTATGCCTTATTCTTTTTTTTTTTTTTTTCATTTAATTGTAATGTGTATTTTACCAACAAAGATCTGTGAAATTGTAAAATAATTGATCAGCTTATTTGAAAGTATTTGTTTATATGGGGTTTATTTTAAATATGTTTCACCCATTATTGGTCGTTTTATTTTTCAATGTTATATATAAAGTGAATTTGATTATGATATATATACAGTACCTTTCTTGTGTCAGAATGAAGTTGTGACTAGAACTTTGTACTTTTAGATAAAATTATTTTAAGATTATGGGGGGGGGGGGGGTTCTTTCTTTTTTTTTAGAGGGGGGATGAGGGGGAAGGTAATTTCCATGTCAAGTTGGTTTTTTTTAACTACCATGGCTGTTTTGCATTCAGTTTCCTTGGTAAGACGAGATGTTTTGAAAGTAAAAACGGAGGATGTTCATGTTCACAGACCTGATGTCTGTGGAAGGCTCCACATTGGCATGAAATCGGTTCACCTGCCTGTGTTCAGAGTGATGACCTGTGATGTTTGTGATACACAGAGGCGACTAAATTGTGTTAGGCACTGACTGTGTTCATGAGTTAATGCCTGAACTAGTTCCTTGCTCTACATGAAAGGTGCGGTTTGTGATACGGTTCTGTGTCTTTATTGTGTTATTGTCTCTTCACTTTTCCTTGATATCTGTGGTTTCCTGCTACCTGTTTCGTTAGTAAGTTGATTTTGTCATGTGAGTGTTTTAGTTCAGGAGTATTTTGTCATGTTAGTGTTTTAGTTCAGGGGAAGTTGACTGGACCAGGTGCATTTCATATGCATCTATTCTTATTGCACATCTTGTAGGCTGCAACCAAAAAGACTAGACAGTTTTATTGTAAATGAATTTCTGTGCATCTTTCTTTGGGCTAAAAGTAATATTAGGTTTCATATTTGTAAACTACTCCATTCATTAAGCCTTACTTTGTTTTACCAGTAAGTATACATTCTCTTTCTTTTCATTTGCTATATCTTGGAGTTAACATGAATGTAGCCCCTACTGTAAATGGTCATATGAGTAGTGTCTCAGAGAGGCTCTATCATTAGAATTATTTTATCTTTTTTTCTTAGTCCATTTCAATATTTTTCACTCTATCACCAATTTGTCGTTCTGTTATCAAAGGGCACTGAGATGATAAAAATCAAGTCTCTTTCCTGTTATGGCAAGGAACGCTTACTTACCTTTGTTTATTACTTTCAGTAAAATGTTGAAAACTTTCCAGTATGACAACCCTAAAGCAGCACACTTTAGGTGTTGTACCAAAGTACTTGAGTTGTTCATTTCCAAGCACCAAGCTTCATGTGTTTATTATAATCAGTTTTGCAACTTCATTTAACAAGAACTTTTTAAAGAATGTTTTTGCTTTTTTCAGTTTAAGTCTATACTTTGTTCTTCTCTATAGATCTCATCCTTCACGACATTTGGAAATTATGGCTGTCGTTGATCTGAGTTTTATTTCCTTTTGATCTGTCAGCTGTAATTATGCTATTCTGTTTGAAGGTTATTTGTTGACCATGCAATATTCCGTTTCTGAATTCAGAATCTTTTTGACTGGTTCTGGCTTCATAATATGTCTTTTCTGTCTTTTTTGTTGTAAAAATATTCTCGTTCACTCTGCAGCACAGACAAATTTATGTTTTTACATTACTTAATTTTATCTTGATCTCAAAGCACTGTTTTGATCTTCTTTAGTTTCAGTAACTTAATGATAAACACAATTGTTTTAAGCTGTCTATTTAAGTTTTATATCCGCACTGTAGCTAAAAAGAATAAGATGGCTAAGAAATCCTCAGAGTCACTTTCATTTGTGCGATATTGCTCTGTCTTTGTACTCTGTTTATTGATTCGTTGTTGCTGTCTCTGCTTACTTCACCATGACTTTCCCACCCCACCTTGCCAAATCACCAGTTTGTTCCGAATGAACTTTCTCTTGGGATTTCACAGTTGAGTCAGAGGTTGATTGGAAGGCGTGTTTGGTAGATTCTACTTCTTTTGTTCCCTCTGTCATTTCTGTTTGTCTGTCTTACTTTTTCCCTGTACTGTATGACTGTTATTGTACTGATGTGCTTCTCTTTTCTCAAACAAAATGTAACCAAGTTCAGTCAGCAGTTTGTAAGTTATACAAAGTGTTATTTTCGGCTCTTAGTTAGAACAAAAGTTAAAATTCTTTCTTTGCTCACATTTTAGGGGTTTGTCTGAAGGTCTTTTGTTTAATCCATTTTCCTATAAAGCATGCTATATCTTTTTTGATATATATAGAATTGCTAGCCTTTGGTTATATTCTGTAAAGGCCTACTGATTTTACAGCTGTCTCTTTCTTCCTAAACAGGTTTAATAAGTTTATAAATCTGTCATTGTTTCAGTAGTCGGTAAAGTCTGTCTCTTGGCTCCTGGATTGTCTTGTCTCATGAAGTTCTTAGGCGTCATGTTTTCTGTCGTAAAGTTTTGGTGCTACAAATAATTTTCAAACTTGTCCTCGTAAGTCAGATTGCAGTGTGACATTTTATTGTGTATATTTTGTCCAGGGAAATCCTTTCTATTGTCACATTGTTAATGTTATGGATTTTGAAAAAGTACTACCAATGACAAAAACAAATCAGTCATGATAAAAATATTATCAAATGTTTTACATCCTCACTACTTCTTGATTGAAGGTAGTAACACCTGCTACAGACAAAGCTATTTGAAGCAGAATGGAATTTGTTGTTGCTCAAATTTAGTATGCTACATTGCTTCTGCTTTCTTTTGCAAGCAGTCTAAACCAAAGCAAGAGATGTCATTTCTGAAATGCCTAACGAAAATTTTTGTAGAACCGATAAGTTATATATGCAAGTTATTTTTAGTTTAATTGTTTCATTTGTCTGTTAAAATGAACAAACTTTTGAAAGTGACTTAGCTGACTGTTTTCCCCACAACTGTTTAGACTTTTGTGACTGGTTCATGACTTCTTTCACATTTTCTTGCCATGGAAAACTTGACTTTTGAACTTTTGTCTTCTTTGCAGGGTTTTCTGTACTTTATAATCTGTGTGTCTTTGGGTTGAAGGAATCTACAAGGAATGCTTTGTGTCTGTCAAAGTGTGTGTGTGTGCGTGTTAATGTGTGTGTGTGGCGCGTGTTAATGTGTGTGTGTGTGTGTGTGTATGTATGAATTTTATTCAGTATCAGCGACACTCCTGTTCCCGTGGTGGGAGAAACCTTCCACGTGTGGGACAGTGGTGCTGTTGAGAATCTCCCAATGTTTGTTGACTAATCCATCACTTGAAACACCAGCATCAGTATTAGTCCAGTGCTGCCTTGCTCATTGTTGGTGATGGATGTTGAAAGCAATCTTGACGCTAAACAGAACGTGAATGAGCGAACTAAAGAAAGGCTCAACTCGGGTGAAAGGTGTTGATCACTTTGACACTTATTTTGTATAATTAACAATGGAAACTGTTAGCCCTACCTCAACTACACATGAGAAATATATGAAAAACTTTAACTGTCTCATATGCTTGCTATGCTTTTGGTTTCTTTAGCTTTTCTGGGTGCTGACGTACAGATTGTTAATGTCATTAGGTCTATATTGTAGTTACCTTTTTGTGAAGTGTCCAAATGAAAAGTTTTATCCACCCTGGAGCCAAAGAAACTTTTTCTATTCCTTACCCAAGTGTTTGATATCTTATCATAGCAAATTTTTAAAATTCTCATTTCCTCCCTAACCTTTGTCGTAAATCGAGCTTTGGTAGAAAAACTGCTTTAAATTGGTCTATCTTCAGCTTAGTAAAAGAAAGGGGAGTAAATGCCTACTGGAGCTAAAAGATATAACTCTTTAGAACAGTGGAATGCTAGTATCAAATCTTGCAATTTATTGGGTATTGCTGAAATGTTCATACTGGGATGTCCATAATATATTTTTGAAACCACAGCAGTTGACTGGTTTGGGATAGTTTGAGATATGTCAGTGTACTAGCTCACTAGGTCAGCAGTGGTGAATTTTGAATATCTGTGGATGGAACAATGTGATGGAGTATTTGATGTGAGGAGAAAATGTTTTGTGTCCTCTGCTCAACATCAACTCTGTTGGCCAAACACATAATGAAATCTGAGAGCCTTTTTCAGTATTTCATAAATGCCAGTATTTGTCTTCTTCAACACAATGCCCCAAACTTGCTGGTCTTGATAAGATATGTTTCTCTCAAACATAAGACTGGGTTGTATTAATTCTCTCAGGCAAATTGGGTTATTATCTGATTCACATGAGGATGTGGAAATCCAGTCTGGCTGAGCTGACAGTTGATTACTGCTTGGGAAATGGACGAGACTATTTTATTGTCAATAGACTTTTAAGCTGCTCAACTGTGTATCTCAGATGATTTTGCAAATTAGTTTTGGGTTGTTTTTTTTTTAAGTTTGTTATTTTTCAGTTCTCTTCAAAGCAATTAACAAATTATTTTATTCAGACATGAAATACCATCAAGCAACTTGATCGTCAGGGTTTTTGTCTCAGAATTGTAACAGTGGCAGTTAATAAAAAGATTTGTTTTTTTGATTAATCATTTGTTTCATATTTCCAACATTCTATGCCCAGAGTCTAAACTTTATTTTCCAGTACAAAATGATACCATGTAAGTTTTTGACTAGTTGTCTTTTTTTTGTTTTTGTTTCCACAAGCCTGTTTTTCTTGATTTTTATGTAAACTTCTACGCACTAGTGAGGTGCTGTAAAATGTTTGTAAAAATGTTTACATACCGTTGTCATTTGAAAACCACAAAAATAATGTAGTTTACAAATACATGTCTCAGATACTTTTTGATTGTTTCATTTTCATTTTACAAAGATTGATTTACTTCACCATCTTTGATTATCAAGGAATGATTACACAGCACTCTGTAAACGGTGTTAGAAATTTATTTGATTAAAGATCTCCAATGTTCAAGCCACATTTGATTGATATACTACAGGCTTTTTAAAAACTTATTTTGTTCTTTTAGACTTATATATTCAAGTCTTTGTTGCAGTAAATACTGTTGTAACCAGACAAATCGAATCTCTGTATCCATTTCATTCTTAAGGATAACTCATTATCAACTTATTAGAAGAACCACATGACAACACTGTCCAGGTCATAAAGTTTCTCGTTTTCATTTATTTCTGTTTCGCTGTCTGTTTATTTGCTTGGAATCTGAATATAGCATCTAATTTCTAGATATTTCCGTGTTTGTTTCTTCACTTCTCAGCACAACTAATTATTGGCTATGTCCTTATGTCCTTTCCCCCAGAATCATTGTGAATATGTAGTATATGCTGCCCCTTTGATGATGTTTTACAAGGTATATTGGTGACGATGCATTGATCTTGTTTACACTTTATTCACCTAAATATTGGTTATTGAATATGGGTTATACGTGGTACGCAATTGTGTGAATGTAATTTTTGTTTCCAAGCTGAAGTGCATTGGGCAAAAGGCGATTTAGTTTAGTGCTCAGGACTACCTGGTATGTTCTCTTCATTATATTCTTATACATTTATTGGACTACCACAGCTAAAACGTTTAGACAATTTGTTCTCTCCAAATAATAATTATAAAATTGATTATATGTAGTTGCTTTGCAATATACAATAAACTTTAAACAATGTCCTCTGTTTCTGGCTTCTGTTATTTAACATGTTTGTGTTGTATTGTTTTGTTTCGGTTTTCGTGGTTGAGAGAGACAAGAGAGGAGTGAGAGAGAGAGAGAGAGAGAGAGAGAGAGAGAGAGAGAGAGAGAATAACATTTCACGTGGAACTGATGAGTAGCTATCGGCACTGAGTCCTGCCTGCGTCACATAGAAAGACAGAGGATAACATGGTTTGGCCACCTGTTACGAATGTCACCTGACCAGCCA